ATGATAACAGTTATAATTTTTTGTTTTTTTCAGATACTTGTTATTTTATGAACGAAAAATTGCAGTCGCACGTAATGGACTGCAGAAGATCAACGACTCCGCTATCCGACTGCCGAGAGACAAGTGGTTCGAATTTGAGAACTATTGCAATAAGGAGCGTGTCCCATTCATCGTTTATGCTGACTTGGAGTGCGTTCTACGGAAGATGGACAGGGAAGATGCGTCGTCGTACACGTATCAACGGCACGAGGTATTTAATATAGTATATTACATGCGATGTTTGTACGATGACGAGTTATTATTATATTGGTTCCATCGCGATGAAGACTGTATAGCGTGATTCGTGTGACAACTCAACGATTTGGCGCATCGAGTGAAAAATATCCGCCAACATGCCTATGGAAACGTTGTTGAAAAAACAATGGGAGGCGTACCGAAGCGCGACGCGTTGTCACATTTGCGAGAAATCGTTCGCGCTGGACGATACGCGGGTCCGCAATCATTGTCATCTCACCGGTAGAGATAGATACCATGGTCCAGCGCATGCAAAAATTGCAATCTTAATTATAAAAATTTGTTTTATATTCCGATCGTTTTCCACAATTTATCGGGCTATTTTATAATTAAAGTAGCGCATACAGTAAAGACGCGCATTTTATAATTAAAGAAATTGCTACCGCGTACGAAGGACATGTAGATGTGTTACCGTTAACCAAAGAAAAATATTTCGTTCACTAAACATGTATAAGGTACCGCCGAGAGAGCAGACTCGCGAAAATGCATAAAATTACAGTTCTTCGATTCTTTCAAATTTCTAAATGCAAGCCTCGATAAATTGGCGTTGTTTCTAAGCAAAGACAAATTAAAAATCGTATGTTCCAAATTTTCAACACTATCGGATGAAGAATTTGAATTATTAACTCATAAAGTATCTTTCTGTACGAATACGTTGACTGCATCGAAAAATTGCAGGACACGCGCTTACCACCGCGCGAATCATTTTTCAATTTGTTAACGGGCGATACAGTATCCGAGAGCTGCGAATGTCTGGAAGCGATTCTCTATTTAAACGCTCGGCGAGTATAATACAGTGATCTGTACTTGAAAACCGATGTCTTGTTATAAGCCGACATTTTCGAAAATTTTCGCGAAAGTTGTGTCGTTACGGTCTCGATTCCACGCATTACTATACATTGCTTCGTTTCACGTGGGACGCGATGCTAAAACATACGCGTATAAGATTTAAGTTACTCACCGACATCGATATGATCATGTTCGAGCGGCCTTAGTCAATGTTCAAGCAGATACGCGCAGACTAATAACAAGTACATGTGTTCATATGACTCATCGAAACCGTCGTCGTACTTGATGTACTACGATGTTAATAATTTACAGGGTCCATTATGAAAGTAGTGCGCATGATTTTATTGTGACGCGAATATCCATCGCAGCGGGGTAAAATGGGTCGGGAAATGTGGTGGGGGGGGTCTACCCTTCCAAGGCAGCCAGTTTGCTCCGAGCAGTCTGAGTGGAAAGACGTGCCTCCGCGTGAAGTGTGTTTTTCGACTTTGTAACACGGCGCGATGGAGCGTTCGCTTGAACAGCGATACGCCATCAAGTTTTGCGTGCGACTTGGAAAGAATGCAACCGAAACATTCCAGATGCTTCAAGAGGCCTTCAAGGACGACTGCATTTCAAGGTCACAGTCCGGGAGGTGGCACAAGGCGTTCAAGGAGGGCCGTCGCCGACGACGAACCCCGTTCTGGACGCCCAACAACGGCCAGAACCGACGAAAACGTGAATCGTGTGTGCGAAGTATTCTGACCGTCGATTGAGCATCCAGTACATCGCTGACACCCTAAACATGTCCACATTTGCGGTACATGGGATAGTGACGGAGAATCTGCAAATGCGCAAGGTCT